GTGTGTGTGTGAGTGTGTCTGTGTGTGTGTGAGTGTGTGTGTGAGAGAGTGAGTGTGTGAGTGTGTGTGTGTGTGTGAGTGAGTGCACCTGCACCGCTGCTCTCAGGAAAGGCTTTGACGGCTCTGTTAGTGAAGGGCAGGGGTGTGTTAATGAAGGGACGTCCCGCAGGATACTCCGAGTAAGAGGCCAGAGACACGCTGTCAGACATCGGTCGACCTCTGAGCGGCGCCGTCACACCCTCCTGTGACACACAACACACACACACACACACAAGATCATCACACACACAAAAAAAGGCCAGATCTGAAGATCACATGACATAATCACATCAGGAACATAAACTCGTATTTTTATCTCAAAAATAAGTCGTCATGTGTCTCAGATATTCCGCTCGTTATCCCAGAATGCCATGGGGTCTCTGTCCTGAGCGGAAAACAACATAAAGGTGAAAAATCATGCAAGAATCATCTGCTCCAGATCTGGACGAGAGAGTCATGAAAGCTTTTATCACACTAAAAATACAATCTGAGAAAAGCTCAACACAGAATCATACGGGAAGCTCGTTTCCACCATGGAACAAAGACATTTAATAACGTCATTGCGACTTTTTCTCTCACATTTCAGACTTTTTTGTCCCCTCACAATTCTCAGAATCGTGAGATATCAACTCAAAATAGTCAAATATAATCGCAGAATATAGTGTAAACGTGAGAGTGTGAGGATAAAAGTCCAAACTGTGAGATAAAAAGTCATGTTCTTTTGTCATTTTAATTAACTAATATTTTTTATTTTGTGGTGAAAAAAAAACAGAAATGCAAGATATAAACTCAAAAGTCTGAATCGTGAGAAAAAGTTGGAATTGTGAGAAATACGTCTGAATTGTGAGAAACAAGTTCAAATGGCAAGAAAAAAAGTCAAAAGTATGAGGGGGGAAAAAGTCTGAATTGTGGAAAAAAAGTTGAAATTGTACGATGCAAACTCAGAATTACAAGAAAAAAATTAAAATTACAAGACAAAAGTCAGCACTGCAAGAAAAAGGTAAAGATGTAAACTCACAATTTGAAAAAAGTCAAAATGGTGAGATGTAAACTCAGAACTGCGAGTGTGTAACTTGGAAACGCAATTTAGAGAAAAAGGCATAATTGTGAGAGAAAAATATCCAATTACATTTTTTGACCCTGGACCACGAAACCCGTCATGAGGGTCAATTTTGTGAAATTGAGATGTATGCATCATCTGAAATAAGCTGAATAAATAATCTTTCCATTGATGTATGGTTTGTTAGGATCGGACAATATTTGAAAATCTGGAATCTGAGGGTGCAAAAAAATCTAAATATTGAGAAAATCATCTTTAAAGTTGTTCAAATGAAGTTCTTAGCAATGCATATTACTAATCAAACATTAAGCTTTGATATATTTACGGTAGGACATTTACTAAATATCTTCATGCAACATGATCTTTACTTAATATCCTAATGATTTTTGGCATAAAAGAGAAATGTATAATTGTGACCCATAAAATGTATTGTTGGCTATTGCTACAAATATCCCCCAGCGACTTAACACTGCTTTTGTGCTCCAGAGTCACATATATTTTTTCCATGGCAGAAACGGGTTTCCACAGAATCAACATACAGGGATAACGTGAAATCAGTGTATTTCGATTCGTCTCCTCTGTCAAGCTGACGACGGTCACCTCAGCAGCCGATTCTACTTAAAAACACTGAACATGTCTGACAAAACACTTCATATCAAAACATCAACATGCCTACAGTACAGGACCGTCTCACACACACACACACACACACACACACACACACACAC